TATATATATATATAAAATAATGAAATAAAAAAAATAAATGGGACAGAGATCAATAACGACATAGACTCTAGGAAAATCAAATTAATTGTTCAGTAAAGGCTTGACTACTGTGTAAAACAAAGTAACAGCAACAAGACTGACTTCTGGCTCTGATAAATGGCAGGCATGGTTTTCCTCAGGGCCCAGGTCTGTCTTGGGCCCAGCAGAAAAGCAGCCAGGACATAGTGTACCATCTGCACCTGCACTGAGTGATATCTATGTAATCATTCCAAGAGGAAACTAGCATGTTCAATTCTTAATTAACCTATGGGCAAACCACTGCCCCATTTGATCACCATTGCTGAGTGTAAATATTGTTACCTTCATGACAAATGGACTCTAGAGGGGTTTAATATAAGTCAAGCAGGTATTGCTAGTATTCTCAGCATATAAAGAAGCACTCAGAACAGGGAATGGCTGTGTGCCCATAACCCCAGAGCTATAGGGAATAGAGACATGAGGACCACTGGGGCTTGCTGGCGACCAGTCTAGTTCCAGGTTAAATGACAGACCTAGTGTGCAGAGAATAAAGCAGAGAGTGGTAGAGCAGGATACCTGACATCCTCCTCCGGCCTCCACATATATGCAGGGACATGTCCACACCCGTATACATGTGTGCATACACTACACACACGTACACTATTCTCTATCATACCGACACACTCAATTTTTTTTTAAAAGAAATACCCAGAATTTGGTGGATGGAAAATAGATATTCAAAGTACTATTTATAATTATACATATAATTGACATAGAAACATAAAAGAGAAATGAAAGGTAAAATATACACATGAACCACAAATTAATCCATATCTTTCATATCTTGTAACACTTAATGTTTTTTAATTGAAAAAGCAAAGGAATAAAGTATAAAGTATGTAAATACATAATTTTTAAAATGTAAAATAGGGAGCCAGGCATGGTGGCACATGCCTTTTATCTCAGCACTCAGAAGAGAGAAGCCTGCAGATCTCTGTGAGATTGAGGCGAGCCTGGTTTACATAGCAAGTTCCAGGCCATCTGGGCCTACAGGAAGACACTGTCTCAAAAAACAAAAGCAGCAAAATTGTCCAACAAGAATACAGATTTCAAAATTCCTTGCAAGTAAGGGAAGGGGAGTCTCAAGGCACTAGTCTCCTTAGGGTGGCTATAGCACTCAGGCATGCTCTCTTGACCTTCTCGTGTCCCTCCTCTGCACCCCCTTCTCTCTGCTGCCTTCCTACTCGATGTTTTCCTTTCCTGGCCATGCCTGCTTTCCTTTACTCCAGGCCTTTCACAGACTTGCCCTTCTTTGCTAGCCTTCCCTTCTTACCTGGCTCCATGGCCTTCCTGTGTTCTCAGTGGCCCTCCCTGATTGTATCACGCCTCTGTGGTAGGCATTCCAAGTGGGTTGTGGTCCTTGCCCTTTCCTACTACATTTTGTATGTTAAGGTAATTGTGCTTCCGAATATCAAGTGGGAGTATAGGCCAAGACACCACATAGATGCTCATGAATTATTAGTTAACTCGTGGTGGTGACAAGTGTCTGAAATAAACCTATAAAAACATACTCAGTGTCAACAGGGGCCAGGTAATCAATATCTTAGTATTGAATAATTTCGATATCAAAGACATTCATCAGCAAAGTAAAACGTGTTCCATATTAAAATCTTTGGCCTACATTCCAGTTTGTTTTCGGTTGCTGTAACAACACCATCAAATGCAGCTTGAGGAGGGAAGGGTTTATTTGGCTTACAGGTTACAGTCCATCATGGAGGAAAACCAAGACAGGAACCTGGAGGCAGGAGCTGAGGCCAAAACCATGGAGGAATGCTGCCTACTGTCCTGCTTTTTACTGGCTTGCTCAGTTACCATTCTTATACAGTCCAGACCCATCTGCCTAGGAACGGCATTGCCCACAGTGGGCTGGGCCCTTTTACACCAATTAGCAATCAAGAAAATGCCCCACAGGCCAATCTGACGGAGGAATTTCCACAGTTGAGATTCCCTTTTCTCAGGTGTATCTAGGTTTGTATCATGTTGATAAAAACTGTGAATGCATTATTCTTTTTAACCATTTCAGCTATTTATTTAATTAATTAATTGAATTTTATTAAATTTTTGTGATGTATTATGTGAAGCTCATGTTCTTTGTTTTTTAATTTACTTGTGCTTTATATTTATTTAACTTAAAATTATTTAATAATCACACATAGATATAATATATTTGGATCCAATCCACCCCATTACATATTTCAATATCAGTTCCAGCTTCAAAATAAGTGTATTGAGACGATTTGGTCATGAGGTCTCACTGTGGCATGGTGCTTAAGAGTGCCGTTCAGAGGACTGCTAGGCATGATGGAGAAGCTGAAGCTAGAAGATGCCACTGTCTAAACCAGTGAAGCAGGACCTAAAATGGGAAAAATAGGCTTCATGGCAAGGAGACAAATAAAAGAACTTCACAAACCCACAAGGAAGTAAGAGTATTCAAAAGAGCAGAGAAAGATCCTAAGGCAAAGAAGCAAGTGGGGACTAGGAATCAGAGCTGCTTTGAAAAGGTAAACCAGGCAAAGACACGTAGTCCTACCCTGAGCACAAGCCCAGGCTCCAGAGCCTCAAATCCAGCCACAGGTTTTGACTCAATCAATAAAGTGTTTGCTGCACAAATATGAGAACCTGAGTTTGAGCCCCAGAACATGTAAAGCTTAGTGTGCTGGCCTATGCTAGTAATCTTAGCACTGGAGAGGCAGACAGGTGAATCCCTGGGGCTTGGTAGCCAGCCAGCCTAGTCAGCAAGTTGCAGGCCAATGAGAGACCCTTTCACAAAAAGCAAGGTGGACAGCACCTGAGGATTCTGGATTCTACACACAGCACACACACATGCCATTTGCCTATATACACATGTACCCCTAACAAACACACAGATATGCACAGAACACAAGTGCATGTGTACCTGCACACAGATGTACTTCTATACACACACACACACACACACACACACACACACATACACACACACACACACACCATTAGCATATGTAGTTTTGAAATAAATGAAATTTTTCTGGTATCAAGAAATTCTAAAATATAGGTGAACGTTTATAGATTGAGCATAGGGTAAATGTCTCTAATTTTGATCTAATGCATTCTCAACTAAACCAAAGTTCTATGAGCATCAGGAGAGGGGAAGAAAAGTTAACATCATTAAGTGGTTAGTTAAATTAACATTAAAATTTACCTCTTACTAACTGTTAGCAGTAATGTCAGGCTTGAGTGAATCAGTTAATGAAAAGAAATAGTGCCAGAAACCATGCTGCTTTCGAGAGCCAGGTGTTACAGTGTAGCCCTTCTTGGCTATGGTTCTTCTACCCTTGAACATTTTAGAATACATAAGAAGTACATTGTGGCAATATCCTGACTTCTCAGAATTCAAAATGGGAGACCCTAAATCATCAGACTATAATGGGAAATGTATTCTGGTTTCCTTAATAGTATTTGTATAATTTAGGACAACTGACATTAAAGTGTTAGAGCAATGACTTGATACAACAGGCAAAAATTAGGAAACTGTGGGCTAGGAATAGAGAAAGTAGGCTTGAATGAACTCTCTGACATCCTGAGGGTGATGGGGAAGGGGAACAGTTTTCCACTCAAACCATAGAATGTTAAAAGGAAAACACGTTGCGAGCTGAGTACAAAATTCCAGAGTCGTTCCCAACAGACATTTCTTTGTGCTCAGAACTTTCAAACTGTTACCTCAGCTCCTTGGAGCGAAGTTTTTCCCCTTTTACAGTGTCCCAGGGCACTGCACAGGGCCTTTGTCCTCCTTCTAGGGTCTTCTCAGCCATGAGTCACACAGCCAGCTGTATGCAAAATAAAATGACTAGTGTTAGGAGTTTGGGGTGAGGAACACATACTGGGACACACTGGTTGCTACAAGGGCAGTCTCGATACAGCACACCAAGTCCGGCACCTTCCCACCTAATCCTTTCTCCATAGAGAGTGACTTATAGAAGAAACTTATTTACCCCAGAGCTTTCACTTGGAGATTTGGTTGCAGTTTGAATTTGAAACTCAGCCAAAAGTGTTTGTTTTTCCATTTTCCCTTCAATGTTACTTTCTGTTTGTGACTCATGCTGTGAGTTTCTAATTCCTGAACTGAAAAACATTTCTACACCTATTTTCTGAGCCAGGCAGCTAGTGTTCCTGCTTCCACGGAACTTCCACTCAGTGAAGATAGGAGCTATGGAATCATTTCAATCTGGAGGATGAAGACTTATGATAGGGAAGGGCAATGGTGATGTGGAAGGGCCTCCAATTGGGAAGTTGAACACTGGGAACTGGCTATGAGCATGTAGCAGATGGCCTCCCTCGGGAAGGTGAGGGCTGTGTGGAGGACATCAACATACAGAACAGGGCCTCCTTTGAAAACATGAGCCCTACATTGGGTCTGAACATTTAGAGATCAACAGTAACCAAGAAAGATTCTGTGGACTTAATATGAATTTACCACACGTGAGTGAGGCTGGAGAAAAGGGAAAGGAAATACGTGCTGCAAATATAAAGACTTTTATAAAACTAAAATCAGTACCTTCAAGAAAGGGAGCTAGCTCTCATGGATTTGGAGAGCACTATGCAAGCTGCTAAGGGAGAACATCAGTCGATGATCCAACCCCAGCTTCAAGGCCTAATAACCACATCAGTGACTGGTCCAGCAAATGACATGTATGCAGTAGTGGCACTTTTATCTTGGGGGTAATCAGCAGCTACCTAATTGGACTTAAAGCCCACTCAACGGGAGGAAATTCATGTGTGGTACTGTAAACATAGCCAAATACATATGGCTGGAGTGGTCTTAGATCTTAGAGAAAACCCCAAGGCTGTCACATCCCTAGACAAATGTAATTTCTTACTATGAGCAAAATATGGATCCTTATATTTATAGACAAGTATCTCAGTCACCACTGATCAAAGAAGCCTCTTTTGCAACAGACGGAGAGTTCTACAACTGGTCACACACAGACATTGTCTTTGAATTTCCCAAACCTAAGAGGCACATCTACAATGCAACCTCTACACCTAAGGACCATGGAACATAGAACAAGGGGTAAAGAGGACACTAATGCATCTCTCAGTTCTTATCAATGAAACTCCCTCATGCAACAGAGGGCCAGGAACACAAAAGGTCACAAATGGCCAAAGTGTAGAAAGTCTGCAGAGTGTGGGTATGTGGACTGGACTCTCATATTAAACTCTACCCACCCAGAGCTCAGGAACCATTTCAGAAGAGGGGCCAGAAAGATTGTAAGAGCCAGGGAGGAGGTGCGTGACCATTTGGAAAAAGAGTCCTACAAGCCCCTGGAACCTTGCTCATATGAACCTACAGCAATGGTGTCAACGTGCACAAGACCTATGCAAAGTCAAGGAGACAAAACCCAGCACAGAACTGTGGAAATGGATAACAAGCCCCAATTATTGGCAGCTGATTACTGCTGGGTGAGGAAGAGCTGATCTTCCTAAAGGGAGGGACTCTAGATAGGCTGACTAGATCCCAGTGGTTGAATTTGCACTGAGGGATGTTTGGGGACACTAACTTGACATGATAGGCCTGAACACAAATGCCCCAAGATATGAATTCCACTAGGGCAGGGATCTTTGTGAGGGTACCAATGGGGAAGGGGGTATAAAGATGAATAAGATTAAGATGTTCTGTATGAAACACAAAAATTCAATAAAAAAGTTTACAAAGAAAAGGTAGATGTTGCTTACTGCAAGTAATCTGAATGGGTATTTGCTGGAACTGGATGGTACTAATAGAAAACAGTAGTAGAAATATATGAAATGTGTGTGTGTGTGTGTGTGTGTGTGTGTGTGTGTGTGTATGTGTGTGTGTGTATGTGCAAGGATGTATGGGGGTGTAAGTGCCTGTGCGTGCAGGTGAATATGCACATAATGCACGTTCACGTGGAGGTCAGTAGACAACCTCAGCTGTTCTTCAAGTACATTTAGCTTGTCTTCTGAGAAAGGCTCTCTAACTGATCTGGAGATCACCAATTAGATGAGGCTAAACGTGCTAGGCCCAAGGATCCAGCCGTCTGTCACCACAGCACTGGAATTACAAGTATATACTAACATGCCTCCTGTTCCGTTTGTTTCTTACACTGATTCTGGGATCTTAAACTCAGGTCCTGATGGTCACAAGGCAAGCCCTTTACTTACTGAGTCATTTTGAAACATTTTTAATATATTTTTTATGTATATGATGTATTGTCTGCATGTATGTAAGTACATCCATGTTGTACAGTGTCTGAGGAGGTCAGAAGAGGGCATTGGATCCCTTGGAACTGGAGTTGCAGACAGTTGTTAACTACCATATGGGTTCAGGGAACAACACCCGGGTCCCTGCAAGAGCAGTGAGTGCTCTTAACCATTGATCCATTTCTCCAGCCCCTTGCTTGAGTTTTTAAAATTATTTTTATTTTAAGTGTATCAGTGTATTGCCTGCATGTATGTAAGTGTGTTGGTGTCAAGCACTACCCATAGAGTTCAGAAGAGGGCATCAGATCCTCTGCATCTGGAAATATTGACAGTTGTTAGCTGCCATGTAGGTGCTGGGAACTAAACCCAGATCCTCTGCAAGAGCAGCCAGTACTCTTAACCATTGAGCTATGTCTCTAGCCCATGAAATATATTTTATACAGTAGAACTGATTCTAAGCACAGGACCTTGGTTGCAAGGATTACTAAACCACCTGTCATTTTCTAATGCTGTTTTGCTGGACGAACACTTTATTTAGGGAAAATACAAAGATAGTCTAGGTCAAAACATTTAGAAGAGGTTTTCCTGACTGTGTGTGTGCTGCATGTCACAAAATAAATGAACAAATAAAGCTAAGCCAACCTTCGCAGTCTGCCATTAAGACTAGGTGTGCATTCTGCCTCTGGGCTTCTTGTAGCAGTTACACAGTTAAGCAGGCATCCTCACATAGAAACGAATCCAATGCTCAGCATTGTTGAGAATTCTTCTACAGTACAATTACCAGACCCACCACACCGTGAGAAGATGGGGGACACTGAGAAGCATGTAAGGCCTCTGCCATCTGAATCCATCGAGAATCATGGGGTGCCCAGGCCTCTGCCATCTGAATCCATTGAGAATCATGGGGTTCCCAGGCCTCTACCATCTGAATCCACTGAGAATCATGGGGTGCCCAGGCCTCTGCCATCTGAATCCATCGAGAATCATGGGGTGCCCAGGCCTCTGCCATCTGAATTCCACTGAAAATCATGGGGTGCCCAGGCCTCTGCCATCTGAATCCATCGAGAATCATGGGGTTCTCAGGCCTCTGCTGTCTGAATCCACTGAGAATCATGGGGTGCCCAGGCCTCTGCCATCTGAATCCATCGAGAATCATGGGGTGCCCAGGCCTCTGCCATCTGAATTCCACATGGGAGTTTTTGTCAAATAAGAAGCAGAAGGCAGACCAGCACTGGTATTTCTGTATACTAAGAGATCACCTACAAGGCCAAAGGACACAAAGAAGTGTTTGTTTTTCTTGCTTACTCAAGGAATAAAAATCCAATAACAAGCCGAAAGATGCCTACAGCAGGAAACCCTTCCCATTGCCCCCGTTCCACTATTTTCCATTTCCTCTTCTCTTGAGTCCACAAGTCATGAATGATTTTTTTTTCAAAAGAAGTGTGATATTAGTCAATTTACAGAAATTAAACATGCGCACACCATCATAAAATCACAGAAGCAGGAATGGACAGCTTTGGTGCAAGACATCTGAGAAAGGACACGTGAGCCTACCTGGCCTCCACCTGCACCTGAACACACACATGTGCACGTACACACCCACATATATACACACATACACCAAAGAAAAGGAAAGAGTATCTTTTTCAGATGCAAAAATGCACTTAAAAGGATTCTATGTGGCCTTTTCTTTCTGATCACTACCAGGAGCAAATTTTAGAGAAACACAGGAAGAAGGAGGGAGAGATCATGAAAAACAATGAGGACATGAAGCAAGAAAACCCAAGGCAGGAGTTGTGAACCATGAGAAAATAGCTTCATTTCCACTCGCAAGGATGATAAAATGCACACATCCACACAGGGGAGGGGCTGGGTCCTGCAGGGACTCACTTCGGTTGTGTCATCGGGTGCCACTAATCTTTCCCTTTGCTGAGGAATGGGGTAGAAGCTCAAGTCCAGCTCACCCAGGCCAATCTGGCTGCCTCTCAGGTTATGACTGCCAGGTTCACTCTGCTCATCACTGCTGCCTTTTCCAGCCACAAGCAGTTGTTTGCAGAAAGAGGACATCTCCCTTCTCTGAGCCCTGGGGATTGTGAGACTCAGGAGAATCACAGAGAGGCCAGTGTGCTCATCAAGAGGCTCAGAATCACCTGTCTTCTTTCCCACCCAAGAAACCCAAAGTCAGAAACACACACACACACACACACACACACACACACACACAGAACACACACACACAAACACATACATATACACATACACACATAAATACACATTTACATGTACACACACACACACACACACACACACACACACACACACACAAGGTTTTCCCCGGACATGTCCTAAAGAACTACAGATCTTGTTCATGTGATTTCTGACAATATTTCCAGCTATCTTTAAAGACTTTCTAAAGATAAGTGTATCTAACTTTCTGTTTTTGCATATGGTTGTTCCCAGTTAGAATAGTAGATTCTCTATGGAAGGCAATGAATTTTACTTTCTTACTAGCAATACTAGTTGCCACTAGAGATTTTTTAAATTACCTGATTATATGTTATTATTTTATTGTATGACATTAAACACGTATGTGTTTATATTAGAAAATCTTAGATTTGCTTGGCATATGAAGAAAGAATGCACAAATTAATGTTTTAAATATTCCCCCCCTTTCTTTGAGACAAGGTCTCACTCTGTAGTTATGAAGCTTGTTCTTGTGACAGAAGTTGGCCTCATCTTGTAACAGTTCACCTGCCTCAGCTTCCACAGTGTTGTGATTACTGACATGAGTCATCATACATGGTTTCACCCAAGGTTTTTGTCACATAGAAACAACCTTAAATATTTTGTGCTTTAAATTGCTAAAAAGCTTCTAGAAGTGAATGCCAGTTCTTAACTGTCAACTAGTGTTTGTAATTTCACTTGAAGAAGTTTAAAGTGTTTGGCTACATCACTACTTGAACCTCCAGACTATCTATGTGAACTTCCGTTTCGGAAAAAAAATTCTAAACAAAAAGCTTCTTAAGTATGTCCAGCAGCTCACAGAGTTGCCCTTTGGAAGAATCATAACGGGAATACTCTAAAATGCACACTTGGGTTCTAGGATTTTTTAAAAATGCAAACAGCAGGAACTTCTGGCCACCAGGCCTGCGGAGCTGGGATTGGCAGCTCAGCAGGCCTGGAATCATAGTGCTATGATCCTAAACACAGCATCTGTTACTGAGTTGCAGAGCAAACAGGCGCCCATAATATCATTTTTAATGTGTTTTTGTCTGCTGCAATTGTGGACTAAATACATCTACAGCCAGCAAGCACATACAGGAGGACTTCAGACTGTTTTAATGTTACTTGTCATCTAAGCTAAAGTAGTCAAAGTAATGGGTGCCAAATTCTTCCATTTGACAGCTAATTAAGTGCCATGTAATTTTTCGTCTAGGTTGAGTTACATTATAATGAACTTGTGCACTACTCAACTTTTCCATATTTTATGCTGCATCTCACAATAAATTGCAAGTCTCTCTCTGTATCCCTGGAGACTCCACATTATCAACATTCTCAAGTTCTCTGTGTTTGAAAGTTTACCTGGTAGTTGCTAGTTCCTCGAAATCTTCTGTTTATTAAATTAAACAGCCATGTTTCTTTAGGGGCAAAACTATGTTTCCAGAAGACGAATCTGTACTCACAGATGAAAATATTTACTAGGTGGGAGACCACCCCTCCCCAAGGTGGCATGTCCTGTTTAAAGACATTCCCCCCAATCGAGACAAGTCCTTTACCCTTGAGTAATAACCAGGCTTCTGATACAGTGACTCATTCTTTGAACTACCAGAAATTTAAACTCCCTGGGCCTCAGCACAGCTACTGGCATTCCTTTACTTCAGGGATGAGAGATGCTTCTTCCAACATATCCAAACAGTGCAAAGGCCTGAGAACACAGAGTTCAATAACAACTTTAGTAGCACCCACTGCGCTGCAGCAGGCCGAATCTCACAAATCCATCGTGATTTTTTGGTTGATTGAATTTGGCATCATTCAGGAGGTATCCCAGTTATAACAGAATTTTGAGTAGTAGAGACTGAATCTTTCTTTATAGAACTGGCAATCATCTGGCATAACCTCATTTGTGTGGAATAGAACAGGTTCCAGAAGCCCAACCACAGTAGCTGGCCATGAAGACAGTACTAATTATGCCCCAAGTTCTAAAGAAGCAAAGAACAAGATGGCATCAATTACTCACCCTCCAGATCCAGGATTAGCCACAGCAGGATCTGAGCACACTGGAGATGTGTCAAGTGAGGCTTTCTGCTCCAAATCGCAGACACACTAGAAGAGTAATAAAACAAGCCACAAGGAGTTGCCGTGTTTATGACTAGAGAGCAAAGGTCAGGAGGGGATTCTGGGAGCTGCTGAAAACTGACTTCACACTATTGATGAGAACTGGTCCCCAGGGGAAGAGGGAATAGGAAGTGGCTGTAATGTCATCTTTCTCACTTTAAATTATGGAATGGTATTTACAGTTTTGCTCTAGTTAACTGATAGCTATTCTTACCCTGGGACTGCAGTATGTTTTTCTCTAAGAGAAGAGAATGTTCAAGAAACACATGGTGAGTGGGTGTGTGTAGGGGGGGGGGTATGAGGTGTTGAGGGGTACCACTGAAGAAGATGCCTGCATTGATAGAAGCTCACTGCAAGGTTTGATGTTGCTGTTCTGTGCCCTGTACCCTAGTGTAGGAGCGTTTAACTCTGGAATCCCCTGAGGCCCAACACACGAATGCATCAAATGTCCAACTCCAGGATCTGGTGACAAATACAGTCATCAAGAAATGCCAGTATTTACTGAAATCTGTCAACATGGCTGCAAAGAGAGGGTCATGCAAAATATGTGTTCTATATACAGTTACACACACAAGGAAGTATGTTGGGCAGAAAAGCCCTTAAATATCTCTGAATTGCTAACTACAACTGATATGAAGCCAAGATTCATTTCTGTAAACAAGTTATAGGAACAGGGCTTGAAGACACTCATTCTCAGGGACCCTTCTTCAGCACAGACCATTTCTCCAAATGTGTAATGCAATTTTGAGTGAGAAATAGTAATCGTTTATCATTATAACTCAATCCAACATAAGATTGTCTTTTGTTTTCTGACCACAGTCATGTGGTCATTAAGTAAAATTAAATTTATGCACATTTTTTTCAGATGCTAGGGTAAGGGTGTCAAAAATATATTGAGTGAATAAATATAAGAAATTGGTGTAATTTTGTTAGAGAAACAGGAAGGAACTATAAGTTTCAGAAGAAAAGGAAATAGTTATATAAATTTTTTTTACTATTGAAAATAGAGCTTTTTACAAATTAAATAAAAAAGACTAATGCTTAATGTGGAGGAGTATGCCTTTAATTGTAGCACTTGGAACACAGAGTGAGACAGATCTCTGTGAGATTAAAGCCAGCCGAGTCTACATAATAAGTTTCAGAAAGCTGTGGCTACAGGGAGACCCAGTCTCAAAATAAATAAATAGATAAATAAATACTAACTAGACATGGTAGCATGCATCTGTAATCTCAGCATTTGGGAGGTAGAGGTAGGAGGACCAGGAGTTCAAGTCCAGCCTCAGCTACACAGAGAGTTTGAAGCCACCAGGGCTACATAAGTCCCTGTCTCAAACAAACAATAACATCATGTTTCTTCTCTAACAAAAATACTTTGATGCATATATTATCCTAAACATGTAGCTGCTAAAACCAATAAAATCATAATAACTTTTTTTTGCAAACAATGTTAAATTTCTTATTTTGTCATCTTTGAGATATTGTTTTTTCCTAACTTTTACAAAAACTTTATTAAGAATTTCATACATGAATATAAGGTGTTTAGATCAAATCCACGCCCACTCACTCCCTTCCAACAATATAGATATGGGAGGCCATATCTCCCCATCACTTTTTTCTTTATATTTTCTGTTTTTTCCTTCTTTCATTTATTTTGATGGGGCTTTTGGGTACTCTAACATCCCCCCCCTCTGAAAAGGTAACCCGAATATTTTAAGGATTAGATACAAGCTCTCAAATACTTTTGATACTTTTGGCCTTTGGAACAGAATATGTTGCTGACAGTCCCAAGGACATTTTGACTTTTAGCCAAGAAACTGGCTACTTTTCTTTGGGGTCTTTTTACCCTAACTGCCTAGCCAATTCCTACCTCCTATTCTTATCACACCATCCTCTGAAGGGGTTACACAAACTGCCAATAGAGAGTAGGGACGCAGACCCCTCTGGCTTCTTCCATGCTGAACAGGGATGCAGGGTGAGGCAATTGGAGTACCCCTTCAGTGGGTCTATCTAAAAGACTCCCAAATTGCATAACTCATATCTCTAAGGGGAAAAGAAAGTCCTTGAATTATTAACAGGAAATGTGAAGGAGAAGTAAAGGCAAGAGTAATTAGCATTACAAGTTCTAGACAGGGAACTAGAAAAAGTCAGAACAGGGCAATTTTCAAACGTTTATATGAGAACCCATTGGAATTTCTTGACAAGGGCTTCCAAAAGTATCCCTCTATTGGGTTCTTCCTCATTTTTCTTTTGTCTTCCAAGGCTGAACTCTAGAGTGATGGATTCAGGATTTGCTTTCAGGTATTTTGATAGCTGTTGGAGTGGTTAGAGTCAGTGTCAGTTCCCTCTCAAAGGCTTCAAGATAACTGAGGAATTTCTGAAGTGTATGTATGACCTGAGGGTATGCACACATGATATCCTTTACTCAGCATGGGCCATGCCTTCTCTTCCTAGCCTTCCGCAGGTTGTACACTTCAGCCCTCCCCAAATCCAGGAGGCCTTGTGTGATTAGGGCCAAATTATATACAGTTGGCTGGTAAGAGTGGCTGGATACTCCAGTAAGGGTCCAGTGCCACTGCTTGGCCCTCCTATAATGAATGAGCACAACTGTCAACAAGCCCAATTGTGACTATGTCTAGTGATCAGGCTCAGCTGAAGTCATGATGATGGTAGTTATTTCATGCAGAAGGGACTGCTGTATAGTATCATCTTATTAAAAGGACCTGGAATTTAAAAGGATTTGGTGCTAGGAGCCACATATGAGGGAGAACATAGGTCATTTGTTTTTCTGAGTCTGTGTTGCTTCACTTAGTATAACAGTTTCTAGATCCATCCATTTACCTGCAAATTTCATTATTTCATCTTTCGTTACTGAATAGAATGCCATTGTGTAAATAAACCACATTTTTGTTAACCACTCGTCAGTTGAGAGGCACTTAGCCTCTCTTAGCTATTGTGAAAAGAGCAGCAACAAACATGGTTGTACAAGTGTCTGCAATAGGGTGAGTCCTTTGGGTATATGCCAAGGAGTGATATAACAGGGTAATATGGTAGGTTCATTTTTAGGTTTTTAAGAGTTCTCCCCACTGTTTTCCATAGAGGTTGCATGAGTTTGCAATCCCATGAGCAGAGAATGAGCGTTCCCTTCTCTCCACATCCTCACCAGCATTGATATCATTTGTTCTCTTGATCCTAGTCAGTCTGATTGGAGTAAGAGGATACCTTAGGGTGGTTTTCATTTTCATTTCCTTAATTACTAACAATGTTGAATACTTTTTGAGATGTTTCTTAGCCATCTTTATTTCTTCCTTTGAGAACACTTTCTGTTTAGATCTTTAGCCCATTTTTTAATTGGGTTATTTGGTTTCTCACATCTTTGTTTTTTGAGTTCTTTATATATTCTGATGTTAAACTTCTGTCAGATGTGTCACTGGTGAAGATTTTTTTCACAGTCTGTGGGTTTTCCCTTCACTTTTTTCATTGTTTCTTTTGCTGTATGGAAGATTTTTAGTTTAATGAGGTTCCACTTATTGATTGCTGACTTTAATTCCTGAGCAATTTCTGTCTGGTTTAGAAAATCCTTTCCTACACCTATATCTTACAAGTTACTGCCAATATTTTCTTCTAATAGTTTCAGGGTTCCCAGTTTCACATTGAGGTCTTCGATCCATTTAGAGTTGACTTTTGTGCAAGGCTAGAGATCAGGATCTAGTTTCATTCTTCTACAGGTGGAGATCCAGTTTTGCCAGCACCATTTGTTGAAGATGTTGTCTTTCCCC